AAAGGCCATCATTGATATTGACCACATGTCTGTCATAATAGTCCAGCCTCTAAAGAATTGCCTATAATTAGAGAAATTATTACAGTTATTATCAAGAAAAACTTCATCTCAACAGTTGGAAGTGAGAGCTCTCTCATGTGAAATTACATGATTGGGCTCAACCTTCAGATCTTCACTGGGTGGGTTCACAGATACAGCACCCAAGTCAGCAGGTTTCCACATTCATCGCCATGACTGTAAGGCATGATGAAACCCTTTGGCCTACTAACTATACTTGCCAGGGCTGGACTCCGGCTTGAGCATATTTGACAAGCACCCGGAACCTACATTTCCAAGGAAATAGAAGTCAGTGCCAAGAAGCACTGATTCTATAAACTCAGGTGGAGATGAGTATTTCCTGTTCCGTGACTGTACGTCTAAGCTGACAACTGCTTTTCCCAGACAAAAATAGTGAAGTACTTTAGTAGGCAAAGCAACAACTTCTCTCCAGTTGTTTTATTATTTACCATCAGCTTTCTAGGGACTGCACACTTTAGGCTCAGTGTGTAGGTGCTGGGGTAGAAAGATAAATGACATCTCTGAAGAACAATCATGCACCAAAAAGAATCTGGCTGCTCTGCCCGGGCTGGTACTTACAGAATGTTGATCCAGTTCTAGAAATAGAAACTGGCTTTCTTCTTTCTCCCGTGAAAAGTAAAGAAAAAAATAAAATTCCATCTAATAATAGTATATCATCACAGGCGTAGTTTTCCCATGGGCCTAGTTTTTCTTATATTGCTGAAATTTTTCTACAGTGTAACTTCGCTTTTTAAAAGTAGTATTTTCCCCTATACTGTGCCTTTTGATGTTTAAAGCTGCATTTTAGTTTAGCAACATTTTAAAGTCATTCTCTTTCACTGAAAATGGTAATTCACATATTTCAAAGTCTGCTTGAAAGTTCAAAAAGTTTATTTTTTCATTTTCTTTTTTTTAATTTTTGTCTTTTGGAGACAGCTCCAGCTGTCCTAGAACTCACTATGTAGACCAGGCTGGCCCTGAACTCACAGAGATCTGCCTGCCTATGCCTCCCAACTGCTGGGATTAAAGGCGTGCGCCACCACACCCGGCCCATTTTCATTTTTAAAAAGAAATTCTTATAAAAGTTGTTTTAATGGTGTGTAGTTATTACAACCGAATCCTTTCTGAGTTCTTCTTAGGCAAGTATCTATTGTATGATATAAAAGTGAAGGTGGAATGCTCCTTACAGTGGAGGGACACTACTGGCCTATTTGGTTAAATTTTAGAACACCATGCATTTTATAGGTCAGAGAACAAAGCTTCTATTAATTGTACTACTATTTCTGTGCAAATTTTCAAAATATTAAATACCTTCAGATGGTGTGTTTAAGTGAAACTGTACAATCTTTATCATAAATAGCTACACAGTCCCCAACATTTCATCATGAAATCAGGAAGACACCCAGGCTGAGTGCAGAGGGCAATGAGGAACCTGAAATGGCAGGGCGAGCAGAGGAAGAAGAGCCAGGTGCTCGGGCTAGGCTCCGCCTGCCGGAAGTCAGTGAAAGCTCAGAAAACCAGTATGATGACTTGTATGTGTTCATTCCTGGACTTGACGCCAAAAACAGCTCCCAGGAGTCCGTAGCATGCTGCCGACCACCTCTGCCCCCACCACGACCTGGGTCTGCTGCCTCCCAACTGGAAAGACCTCACTTCACATTACAAGGTAAGTTTATAGCTAAAAGAGGCTTTAAAACTTATTTGTAGGCTTTTATAACATGATGCAATGGCGAATCAACAGACATGAAATCAACTTCTGAAACCAAGGGCAGCTCTCCTGTCTTTAGCACTGTGGCCTCGTGTAGCAAGACACTTCGTGAAATACGTCTTGCGATTCTGCGGGTCGTGAATCTCAGGTCCTGGCTTAAAGCTTCATCTGTGTCTCGCGTCCTTTCCTGTCTCCATCTACTCAACTACTACAGCCTATCAAAATAATAGACCACCCTCTGCCCCTCCATCCCTCCTCTTCTTTCCTCCCCTTTTTACCTTCCTTCCTTCCTTCCTTCCTTCCTTCCTTCCTTCCTTCCTTCCTTCCTTCCTCCCTTCTTTCCTTATTTACTTACTAACTCTACTTCAGGAAAGTAATATTAATAATAATAATAATAATAATAATAATAATAATATTTTGGAAAGTCTGTAGTTCTGCACATAAAATTCTCATGCATTCTTTCAAGAAAATAAATGACAGTATTGCTTTTAAATAATACCTGTAGTTTTCTGGCAAGAGGAAACGTTTTGCAGGTGACTTGCAGATTATTCTCAGCACCGCACTCTAGAGGAGAATGAAGCGGTGCCAGGTTCATCACACTGAGCACTAAGACGGATGTCTAAGAACAATGCACACTGCGGAAGTGGCAGAATGCTCAGCAGACTGTCGCGCGTTTGTTCCCAGGTGCAGAACCAGGGTATGCAAGGCTGGGATGGTGAGCACACCACCCTTGAACTGAGCAAAAGACAGTTAAGAACATCCCTACTATGGGGCTTCTCTGCCTGGAGTGATCCACGGCCTGAACGTCCAGCTCCAAGGCTATTCTTCATCATTAATTTTCACCCAGTTTATTCAACTGTTTTATATTTAACCTTCCAGATTCATAAAATGTCCCAAAGAAAATGTGATAACAAAGACAAAAATAGCACTGTTGATAGTATTGTCATTTGTTGATACTATTTCAGTTGTCAGCTCCTAGAAGACTATCATGTGCATAAATACTGCTTCAAAACATGAATACTAAAACCTTAAAATTTAGTGTCGCTGTCCTGCGGAGGACAGTCTCTGGGAAGGCACATGGTCATCAATGTAAGCTGCATGAAGGTTCTGTACTATATTAGAAAACAAGACTTAATAGGCTCTCCTCTTGTTGATTCATGCAGTCAATGTGCATTCATTGCATACCTACTATGTGCCAAGCTCTTACAGACCCTTGAAAGATGTCAATGAAGTGGGCATATGAAAATTTGTGAGAGAAGAAACCATAGGTTAGCAGTAGACTGACAACAGAAGTTTAGTGCATTTTTTCATATCTTCTCATATTCGAATAATTTTAAATGATAAAAATTTAAGATAACAGTATTGTCTTGTGTCAAGTTAAATCTCTACAGGAGCTAACATTAAAGCATATTTTTCATAATATAAGGCTCCATATATGATATGTTGATTAAGAAATCTAAAATTACTCAAGTGCACACCAGAAACTTGCAACCAAAATTGTGATGTTGACTAATATATCTCCTGAAAAGTACCAAATGTAAAAGGAAAAAAAACAAAAAGGTTTTTTAAAAAAAATTTAATTAAAAACAAATTTTTGTACTCCCACACATGAATTATGCATAATGGGATTCATGATGTGAATTATATACATATAACATATTTTGACTGTACTCATCCCCCAATTACCTTTTCTGGTACCCTCCCACTCCCACTGGTTCCCATCCTCTTCCCCGCCAGGTCTGTCTTCCATTTTCATGTCTTTTTTAATGTATTTTATTTTTGATAGATCAATGAGTATAGTTGCATGAGTATAGTTGAGGAATATGAGCAACTTATCAGTGACTACACCACTGAAGAAAATGTCTCTGTCTCACCCCATTGACCTCAGAGAGGGGTGGGTTTCATGAATCCCTCCTCATAGTTATTTTTAACTTCTTATAAATCTTCGGTGAGGGGTGAGGCCTCATGAGTTTCTCCCCCCTGACTGGCCTAATCTTATGTAGATTTTAGTTAGGCAATCACAGCTGCTGTGAGTTCAAAGTCCCATGGCTGTGTTATGTCCAGAAGACAGTGCATCACAATGCTCCACATCACCTCCCAGCTCTTAAATTCTTTTAGCCCTCTATACACCTTGGTAAGTGATAGGGGTGCCCTTTATGACTGAGTGTGGTGATGCGATGTAATGCCACATTACAGACATGCCTGAAGAAAACAAGTCTGCTTCTTGGCATCCATTGAAACTAAGAGTGTAACCTGATCGGTTCTGAGAACTTGTTCCTCCAGATTTCTCTTTGAACTGTGCTCCAGCACAAAGGCCTTGCTGTCTCTTTACTGAAACCATACATCTAGCACAAAATGGGGAAGGAAGAGCAGAATTTGTCTTATTATGGAATTTTCTCTTTCTGATCCCTCCTGACAGAATAGCACACACAACCACAAACAGATCTTATCAACCTAATCCTACCTGTTGTTTGCAAGAGACTATCCGTTGCTTTCAATAAATGTTCACTGTTTACAGCACTTGACATTCACACTGTGCACACACACACACATATATTATTCTTAATCAAGGGCAAGGAAGGGTCATGGAAGATTAAGGCTATATGTTTAGGTTAAGAGGAGTCCAAAGTCTAGCAAGTTTGTTTATACTATAAATAAGCTGAAATAGTATTATGTATTGTCAAAACTAAGATTAACTTTTGGATTACACAGTTATGTAAAAGTCTTTCCCACAGCTGGTCATTGAGCAGTAACTTGCTCTCAGCACTTTGACTGGTTAAGAGCCACAGCAGGTTATCACTGTGTGGTGCAGAAAGAAGGTTCTCTGACCAAAGCTGACAGCAGTGCTAATCTATGGGGATAAACATAATTAAAGGCAACTTAGCAGATACATCATGTGCATTTGACAAAACAATTTCTGTAGTTTCCCCAACTTCTCTGCCATGGGTTTTTGACCAGGTTTACAGTACCAAAAATGAATTCCCTCCTGTGGAACAGTTCTCAAATCCCACGAGAACGTAATTGGTTACCCTTAACAGATTTACCACTATTTCACCACTGGACACGTCTTGCCTGATTGGTGGGTAGTATAACATATTTGTATTTTTTTATGTGCTATTATTTTCAACTCATTTTTTCATAATGCTGAGAAGTGAATAGAAAATAAATTGCCAAAAGTTGTCAAGATTTTTAAAAAGTAAGACTTCAAATTACAATTTACTCTGTACCAGAGACTTCACATGTGTTCTTTAACTTCTACTACTTTAGGAACTGTTCCTTAAGAGTAAATTCAATCTCTTCTTGAGTTCCTGAAAACAGGCTATCCTAGGCATGAAATTCCTCAGCACAGACAGACATATTCATTAGAGAAAGTACTCATTTATAGCACTATGGGGCACTCATCACTTTATAAACAGCACATAGTATCTTTTTATCTTCACAATGATCAAGATATTGAACTATCACTACAACCCGTCTGCTACTATGAGAGAGCCTATAATTAGAATGTGTTAAGTACTTCCTCTTTTCTACATGCTCTTGTGCCATTATTTCAACAGTTGGAATTGTAAGAGTGGTCTATTTAATAGTCATTTATTAGTATACAATCTGAAGTGAGAAAGCACTGGTCCCACTCTTTATGAAAACGGATATTTGACACTTCAGATGATAAAAAGTAAAATCTATGATTTCTTGTGGGAGTCCAACTTTAGAAAGAGTTGGGAAGAGTGGTGGGTGGGGAACAAAGAGAGTTAACAACTCAGGAAATGAGTTCATAAAAGGGAGACAGTTGACACATTTTGCTAAAAATGAAGTACTGTAAAAAGCCTTTCCCACACACTTAATCAGGTTTCACCCAGAGGCTGTCAGGGAAGCAGAAGTCATGAAGTCAAAATCTCAAAACCATGTTATTCATGCAGAAAGAGGCAAAGCATGGTGATTCTCAGGCTTGTGCCAGGCACATAGGTAATTACACATCTTAGGTTAAACTAAGAAAAAAATAAGATGTAAGATTCTGTTGGGAGGTTACCTTGGTCTTTCCTCTTAGGACTACCAAAATCAATTTCTGAATCTTTTTATAAAATATTTTTTTCATTCTATTCTATTAATTGCCTTTCCTCTGGGCTGCTAAGTTTTTCCAGTAAGACCTGGAATTATTATTTCAGTCTAAATAATAATTTTGATCAGATTCTCACTATCCAAGCAAAGGAAAATTTGAAAAAAAGAAAAAACAATAATAACCATAACAAATGGCTATCTCATTGCCTAACAGGGAGCCACAAATTATTTTTAACTTATTAACCAAAACATTTCTCATGCTTTTCTGCTAACAACTACTAAAATATTTTAGCACGTTCTTATAAAGCGGGAAAAGATTTTACTTGATATGTAACTCTAAAAGACTCTGAAACCTGTGATTATGTTCCAGCCATCTGAGTTAATCTTTCAGCCAGTGATCATTCATGCTGTCATGCATGTGATGAACTGTGCTTTGATGTCCTTTATTTCTGAATGAGGCTCATATTCCCTTGTAGAAATCAAGAGTTGCACTTTCAAACATCAGTTTGTCATAGCCAAAAACTAACTGTTAATAAACAACTCAGTGGTACCCTTGGCTAGTCCCTCCTGTCATTTTTCAGAGAAATTAAAATTTAGGTGATATATTCAGTACACGCAGCAGGAAAGGGAAGATGACAAGTCTATGAGTATTATGCTTCAAAAATACCCATTTTTAAGGCATTTGGAACTTGAGATGTAGATTTATAACTCAATTTTCTGATATTAAATAACAGAATTATTTCTCGACATAAAATAATGTGTGAAATATTTATGTTTTTAAAGAAATCCATGTCACAAAGCACTTTCATTACAAAACAAGCAATTACAGACTGAAAGAAATTGTCTT